AATATCTATAGCTGGACGCATCTCTGAATGGATTTCAACTGTAGTAAACTAACTCCCTCTCCCATTTGCAGCCAGAGACCGGCCAAGTTTGCTCATCAAAGGCAGGAGGGAAAGGGCTGAAGTGATAGTACAGCAGGTTGGGCATTTGCCTTGCATGCGGCCTACCTGGGTTCAATTCCCAGCACCCCATATGGTCCTCTGAACACTGCCAGTAGTGATTCCGGAGTGCAGAGCCAAGAGTAACCTCTGAGCATTCTCAGGTGTGACCCAAAAAGCCAAAAAAATAAAATAAAATAAAATGAAGGGCAGGAGAGAAGCTGTGTCCTGCAGAAAAGCAGCCCAGAGAGAAAAGCCTGAGAAATACGGGCTCACATGCTCAGCTACATCCTTAAACTTGCCCATCAGATAAGCTACTCATGTTTCTTTGAGAATGGAGAAAAAAGGGAACAGAGCCCAATTCCCCTACTTGGTGAAAAAGTGATGCTGAGAGCGTTCACTTCCGTTAGCATTATCTGTGCGGGGTCACTGTCTGGGGATCTGTGGGTAAGCCAGCAACCTGACAGCATGTCCATCTGCCAGACAAGAGGCTGACGTGTGCAGCTGGTGTCACGAGTTTATGACAGTGGTCCTCGCAGGAGTGAGGAGGGAAGTAGACTGCCCTTGAACGGTGCCTTCACAAACCATCAGAAACAATTAGCTCCTGTCACAAGGAGGCCATGCAGATTGCAAGGATGGGAACCATGCCAACAAAGGCTTGCAGACACTGAGACGAAATGTCTGACGAGCAGAGAGGACGTCACTGCCGCTGGGAACCAGGTCCGTCCAAGGGGAAAGTGAAAGGCGGCGGAGTGAAATGCGGCAAATTCCAGAGACTGCAAAGTGTGATTCAGGTCACACTTAGGAACTCTCTATTTTGCAGTTCAATAAATAAATAAATAAACAAGAAAAGCAGTTTAAAATTTTTTTGATTTAGAATTTTTTTTTTGGCTTTTTGGGTCACACCCAGCAATGCATAGGAGTTACTCCTAGCTCTGCACTCAGGAATTACTCCTGGTGATGCTTGGGGGACCATATGAGATGCTGGGAAATGAACGCAGGTGCTGTGTGCAAGGCAAACACCCTACCCACTGTGCTATGGCTCCAGCCCCAAATTAGAAATTTTTGTGTTTGGTTTTGGGGGCCACATCTGGTAGTGCCCGGGACTTAATCTTGGCTCTGCACTCAGGGTTCACTTTTGGCAGGCTCGGGGGACCATTTGGGATTCTGAGAACTGAACCCAGTCAGCCAGGTATAAAGCAAGTGTGTTACTCGCTGTATTATCTCCCCAGCCCCTTTTCTGCATTCTTTGATCCAATGAATGACAAATTCTTGATAGAAGAAAGACAGGCCCTCTCTAATATATCTGCCATGCCGTTTCCTTCCAAAGGAATGGACGATGAGCCTGAAAACACGCTAGAATGCAAATCCCTTCCCCGTTCTCTAACCCACCACCTCTGACCCTCTTGGTGTGCCTCCAAATGAACCTGCATTTTTATCAAGTGGCCCAAATTGTGGAGATTACTAAAGTGCTCATTGAAAATGACCAATGGCAGCACTGAGCAGTCTCTCATGATGCTGGTGACATTCTGCTAAACAGCAAAGATCCACTTGGAGCCAACAAACATTTAGCCAGAGAGCGACATTCAAAATGCACGTTCTCCCCCGGTGTTTTGGAGGTGACCCTCTTTAAAGTCCGTTCAAATATGATCAAACCATTACCCAATCGACATTTCGTTTTCTCTAACACTTTGTGGGGATTAAAGAGAGAATTGGGGATTCAAAGACACAGAACACCTGAGCCCAGAAAAGAGGGAAAACAAAACAGGAGATGAACTAACAGCCACCTGAGTTCTCTGTCAGGAATGCTTGGAGGCAGTGGGGGTTGGGGTTGGAGTGGGGGTTTGAGTATGCAGCTAAAGATCCAAAGAGACACCCCACTGAAAACTCTGGGGTGCCCTCAGGAATGGGACAGGCTGAGCTCCCACCCTGCTGAGCCTGGAAAACTGCACTCACATCCCATAGTTGCCATCATTCATGAAAACGGCCCAATTCCCCTGCCTCACAGCTAAACTCTGCAGAGATGCCAAACAGTCGAAAATCCCTGGAACACAAGTCTTCAGGCTGAGAGCTCAGGGGTCTGACCCCAATCTTAGCTTATCTGTCTCCACCTGTGACTATCTTACGCCCTCGTAGCTCTCCAGGTGTGTCATTCTGCATCCGCCCTCATTTTATTCAATCCTCTACTATGGAATTCCTATTTCACTTGGCACCCGTTTTTCAGGGAGGACTATCATACTCAGGTCTGTCTGTCATAAGTACCATGTGGGTCCAGAAAGATTCACACTTTGGTGGGTGTTTAATTCACACACACAGAGCTTGCTTGGCACTCCAACTGTTTGCTGAATGTACAATCCTGAAAGAATGATAGTAATTCCAGAGACTTCCTTCACCCCATGTTAACCACCACAGACTGCCTGTAGAGTCAGTGCTTCGTGAAGACCCGATTACTAAAGGAGAAAGAAGGAAAATCCTTCCAGAGTGAAGCGAACAGAAGACAAAGTGGGGGAACACACTTTTTTCAGCAAAGGGAATGACTACTTGGACCAAGGCATCAACTTGATAGAAAATTTGAAAGAGTCATGAGCAAGATCATTTAGACACACAACTTGCTAACTGATAGACACAAACCCACACTAGCATTTGCCAAAGTAAGGCCCATGTTCCATGGGGCACACTGAAAAATGACTGCTGGTAGTGGGTAGATAAACTTTTCTAACATACACATAAACTGCATTAGAGAAATCCTGTTGCAAAGATGTGGTTCAGTGGTTATTTGTTATTTCTTAGGACAGGACCTGTTTGGGTTTTTTTCTCTCTTTTCTTTGTTATTGGGACGGCCATATCCAGGGGTGCTTTGGGGTTATTCTTGACTCTGTACTTGAGCATGGATGAGGGTCAAAGCTGGGTGTCCCACTAACAAAGCACACTCTCAGCTTGTGGAACATCTCTCCAGCACCTCCCTCTCTCCCTCCCTCCCTCCCTCCCTCCCTCCCTCCCTCCTTCCTTCCTTCCTTCCTTCCCTCCCTCCCTTCTTTTTGGTTTTTGGATCACACTTGGCAATGCTCAGGGGTTACTCCTGGCTCTGCACTCAGGAATTACTTCTGGCGGTGCTTGGGGGACCATATGGGATGCTGGGGATCAAACCCAGGCTGGCCATGTACAAGGCAAATGCCCTCCCCGCTGCTCTATTGCTCCGGGCCCCCACCTTCATTGTTTCTTAAAGCACGCAGCTTACTTAGAGAAGAACAAGTGACCAATAATGCAGGGCTGTGGCACCATGGGGGATTGCTAATTGCCAATTACTGATGTTCAGAATTATTACCTGTATTACCGAGCGGAGAGGAGGGAGCTTAATGTTCATGTGAGTGATGGACATTGCCCCGTTTAAAAGTTGTATGACACTGGGAAAACACTTCCTCTGGACTCCAGTAAGAAGGTAGGTCTATGGGCCGGAGCGATAGCACAGTGGGTAGGGCATTTGCCTTGCGGTCGACCTGGGTTCGATCTCCGGCATCCCATATGGTCCCCCAAGCATTGCCAGGAGTAATTCCTGAGTGCAGAACCAGGAGTAACCCCTGAGCATCGCTGGGTGTGACCCAAAAAGAAAAAAAAGGTAGGTCTATTTCTCACTTAAATGATTCTTGGGAATTGGGCCAGAGAGACAGTACAGTAGCTAGGGTGCTTGCTCTATACATGGCCAACCGGGAGTTGATCCCCAACACCCCACAGGGGTCCCGGAGCCTGCCAGGAATGATACCTGAGTGCAGAGCCAGGAGTAAGTGCTGATCACTGCTAGGTGTGGCCCCCAAACAAACAGACAAGAAAATAAGTGACTAAAGGATTGTTTGGGGGTGAGGGATGTGGCTCAGTGTTTGAGCATCTGATTTGCATGTGTGAGGTGCTGAGTTAACCGCCTTCCCCCCTCCTTCCACCCCACCCGCTGCTGCAAAATATTTCTGAACTGTTGACGACTGAGGAAAAGGAAAGTTAGTCTCTCAGCAGGTGGCCTCTGATGGAGCAGAGCCGCTCTCAGAAGTTGGAGGTAGCAGGGATGGTGACGATGGGGGTGGATTAGGGGCAAGAGGGGCTGGTTGCTGGTGGGAACACAGGTGATGATGGGGGTGAAGAGCAATAAAGAAGGAGAAGGAAAGAAGAGGAGAGGGAGGTAGAAGAGGAGCAGGGTTGGGGAGAGTTGCTGCCAGTTCTCAGGATCCTTGTGTATCCAGATACTGAGGATCCCACTTTTCTCTCAGGGTGCTAGGAAGAAACCAACTGCGTGAACAATGGGTTGACTTTCTAGTGAGGTTAAGCTTCCCACGGACCCATCTCTTGAACAACTACAACACTGTTCCTCGAAGTTCTACATCTAGAGATTTGTTCCCCCCTACCCCATCTCTCTTCTCAATATATTGAATGAAATGCTTGAGCCCAAAATCTCGACTACTGAGAAACACCTTGAATTTTTACATTAGAAAATGGCAGCCAATCATTGTGTCTCTGGACTCTAAAATCCACTCTGTGTGCCTTTCCAGGGGTTATTTTTAAATGCAGGAGATTAAAAGGAAATATAGGACATATGGATACAACAGTGACAGGCACAAGGGAAAAGCCTGTTGTACCCAGATTTACTACTTGTGAGAAAAATCATTGCCAAAAGAGGAGAAGCGTCTTCCATGCATGCAGTCACATGATATTTAAACCGGGCCTGTTCTACATGGGATAAGTCTGAGTAATTCACTGACAGTAAAATTGTCACTTAATTATCATGCCAAACAACTGACATTGAGAGATAACCCAGACGCTAACCCTTGACCTTCACAAAGCAAATGTTTATCCTGGTGTGAGGTACACAGACACAAGGCCGAACGTTCATGTAAGTTTGAAATCACAAGCAAACATACCTTCGCGAAACCCAGGCTGCATAACTTGGCTTTTGCTCCAAATTGCCACTTGCACTGTGTGTCGGCATCATAAATCTGTCCTGGTAGTTTGTCTGGGTATTTGTATTGTCCCGTTTGCTTGGGCTCATCCACCAGACACCCAGCCTGAGGGGTACTGCAGGGATAACATACACTTATTAATTCCCGTGCTTACCTGTGATCTTTTTGCTGAAAAGAAAAATGCACCTCAGAATTTGCTCACAGAATGAAAAATATACCTCAGCTAAAGAAATAAGTAAATGCTTAGATAAAATTGTATATTTATTCCAGTGAGCGAGCTCTCGCTCAGAAGAAGGAATTGACATAGCTAGGAAGGGTTTTGGTCCTGGAAGGTAGAGCCAGCCAGGGGATTAGGCATGGTAGGCAAGGAGACAGGGAAGGTCAATAAACTTGAAACCTTCCAAGAGTCTTGTTCAACAATAAATTGCGCGGTATTTGCTCCACAGTTGCATTAGACTCAACATTCGAGTGATAAAATAAACCAGATGGAATGCCTGTCTTCATGGAGTTGAAAGTCAATGCTATAATTTTTCAGAGAATGGGACAGAAGCTACTTTACTTCAAATAAACTTTACGGGCGAAATGATCGAGGCTCCTCAAGGAAAAGCAGGAGGAAGCATCTAACGAGATCTGAGGCAGAAGAAGTTCCCTGAAGTTCGCTGAATGAGGATGTGCTAGGGAGAAAAAATTGGTTTCCATAGCATCTTCCATTCTCTTGCTTAAGGAATTAAACCATTGCATGGGCAAGTGGTAACAGCATGGTGGGTGCTTAAATGTGAATTTTGGAGCCAGACAGTCGGGGGTTCTGGTCAACCTCGCAGTCACATCCAAGGTGTAGAATCCTTATCCGAATCACTGATGACAGGGACTCCCACTGGGCTCTCACATAACTCACGGATGTGTCTGACTCTGCAAAACCAGCATTCAAATTATTGCTGCTGGGGCTGGAGAGATAGCACAGTGGGTAGGGCTCTTGCCCTGCATGTGGCCCACGTGGGTTTGAGCCTACAGCCCTGCCAGCAGGAGTGACTCCTGAGCACAGAGCCAGAAGTAAATTCAGAAGGGCGTGGCCCCCAAGCAAAGCCAAAGCAAAGTTATGGCTGCAGTTGCTGCTCTCACAGCCGACCCCATTTAAGTTCATCGTGTTCATGACGGACACTCACTTGACATTAAGTTGGCCTTGACATAGAATATTTGCTGATTCCATTTTCACATGAGAATGGGATCCAAGTCATAAATTGAAAATGAGTGAGAAAATTTCCTATGTGACAAAGTTTATTACTAGCAAAAGGTTTTTCAACTTTGTCTGATCCTTGGAGATATCATTCAGATGGACACTTCAAATTCAATAAGCATGGCCTGTGGATATTACTGATTCTGAAAATATGTGCAAAGGCTATGTATAAAATGGTAGTAGTATGGGGGGAAAAAAAGAGTATCAACATTTTTAATTCCCAAAAAAACTTCGTATTCTGAACATCTGATCAGAGGGCTGCAAGATCAGAGCCGGCTTGTTCTTCTGAGTCAATCAAAAAAATAATATAGCTACAGACATGTAAAGTGATAGGCATACATAAATACAATTTATGTATGTAGGCATACATAAATATAATTTACGTATGCCATCCCATTGACCAATGATTATCAATGGGCAGATGATTAAGTATATATTAGAGCTGAATATAATTAAGCTTCAAAGATCTTCAACTTGAGGTTCCTCATCTTTAATATGAATCAAATAGTGCTGAGTCCTTAACCCCTTATTAATGCCACCTAACTATCCAAAAGATTTCTGGGGCTGGAGCGATAGTACAGAGAATTGGGCATATGCTTCGCACATGGCCAAACCGGGTTCGATCTCCAGCATCCCCTATGGTCCCCTGAGTACTGCTAGGAGTACTTCCTGAGTGCAGAGCCAGGAGCCACCCCTGAGCATCGCTGAGCGTGGCTCCAAAATGAAAAAATATAGAGATTTCCTGTTTCTTTCTACCCCTTTGGGTATGTTCTGGACAGAGAGCTGGCCTAAAGTCATTTCAAACTAAAGAGTCAATCAAGATCATGTTCTGCTTATTATTTTAAATGCACCCTATTATAGCATTTAAAAATACTTATGATCAAATAGATTGATTAGGTTAAAATATTTAGGCCCAGTAGGATGCCAATGCACCTAGCAGCCCAGAGGGGTCATAGAGGAGAAAGTCAGGAGCACAGGTCTTGGGGATCTCTGTGTCAGTATTTGCCTGCAACTCAGCAGCTAACAGTCAACTAGCCACACAACTAACCTAAGACTTCATTTCCTCCACTCCAGAATGAGGATAAGAGAAAGGAACTGGGTGAGACACTAGAGCTGGAGAGTGTCCAGCACAATACCAGTCCTCTGATTATTTCCCCTACCGTCACGCCAATAGCACCACCGCCACCAGCATGGGTATTTGATGCCAGCCCTTCTGCTCATTGAGAGGTCGAGTCATTGCTTTCACATCAATCCCCTCTGCGAACATGGGGGTGCTCCAGGCTTTGCCTTGGTCCTACCTTAGGAATTTCTTGAGATACTGCCGGCTGCAGGAGGACCAGGAGAAGACGCCGTTGTTGCCAGTCAGAGTGGGGGACATGATGTTGCCCTCCGCCTTCCTGCAGGGGTTGCCCTCCCCGTCGTGAATCATGCCAAAGCTGAAGGAGGAGAAGCAGAGCCAAGCCCTGGCCGTTAACCTGCATCCCAAACTCTCCACTCCATTCTTATGTCAGAGTTATTCTCTATTTCAAATACGAAATTCCTTCCTTGCTACCTGCCCTGGACTCCACGGAAGGGAATTTGGAGTGAAGAGGTAGGGAAGGAGAGAAGCTGGTAAGTTTACATGGGGAGTGGGGGAGGGGATCTCTCAATAGGCAGGTGGGACTTCTCCATGAGATCAATGTATTCCTAGAAATTACAAACTGATGGTAATGAGATTTCCCTATGATCATAAATATCTTTTAAAAAAATAATGGTCAAACCCATCTCATGAAAGCCTATCTAAGAAGAACATCTTTTGAATCAAACGCTTATTTGATAACTTTGGTCTGTCCCATTTCATTATGGAACACTTTAGAATTACAGTTCATATATATAACTTAAATGGTTTCCTACCCAGACACCATGAACCTTACATCTAAATGTTCCTGCATTCTCCTGATGGGTAAAATACACATGATATGTATGTATAGGACACATTGCCGTAAGACAAAACCTACTTCAGGCTCTGTTAACATGGGAAAGAATGGGAGAATATGCTCTAAAATACTCAGCACCTAGGGGCTGAAGCCATAGTACAACAGGTAGGGCATTTGCCTTGCATGTGACTCATCCAGGTTTGATCCCCAACGTCCCATATGGTTCCCTGAGCACTGTCAGGAGCAATCCCTGAGCATGGCCAGGTGTGGCCTCCCCACCCTCCCCCAAAATAAATAAGTAAAATAAAATATAAAGTACACACACACCAAAAAAAGGCCTTTTATAGGTTTTTTAAAGAGGCAAGGTTGGAGGGACATCAATTTTATTGTGAATATAGATGGCCCCAAATTATTTAGTTTGGTTTTATGCAGTGTAGAAGCCTACATCAGGTTCTTTATAAGCAAGGCATGTTCCTAATCTATTTAGAGAACCAAAATTGGTCTCGCACTTTGATGAGGCCAATGATGCATGTGGAAATAAAGATGTTATCCTGATATAATAACTTAATGAAGCCAGCTATCCTCCGAGGCAGTGTTTGAAAAATAAGTCATTCTAACTCTGGGCCAGAGTGAGTGGGGCTTGGGTCTGTCTGTGCCACCCTGTCAGAATTCTCCAAGCTTATCTGTGGGGAATTCAAGGATGGCTGTGTGTCTGGTGCACTGGGTCTGATGGCAAACACACCCAGATTCACAAGCCTCTGCACAGGCCCAAGGATGCTCTTCTTACACCTAGATTTGCACAGTATTCTTTGACCTCTCTTTGGAAGTGAAGGGGAACTGTTTGGGAGACAACCTTCCTCAGTATATTTGCAAAAGATAGCAGCAAACATATGCACAGACCCAAGAGAGAGTAAGAACTCCAGAAATGTGGGTGGGGTAGGGAGACACTGAAACCGCAACTTGAGAAAAGGAAAAGACCAGGAAAGTTGAGGTGTAGGGACATCAGAAAGCTTTGAAATTGAATCTTGAACCTGGTTTTCTTTAGTTTTCTAATCCACTTGAGTAGCACTGAAGGAGGGAATATACATTTTCTTTAGTATATGTCAAAAGTCCCATGAAAAGAATCTCATAAATTGTCTGCTTCTACACTGAGTTCCATTAATGCCCTGCTTCCTAAAACTGGGTGTACCTTATTTTATGCATGAACCTATTATTTTTTTATGGACTCACCATGAGAGACACAGTTACAAAGCTGTTCATGATTCGGTTTCAGTCAAACAGCGTTCCAACACCCATCTCTCAACCAGAGGACTTTATCTTATATCTGCTCTTATATCTTTCTCCCTGGAGTCTTTGTTTTTCCTGACCTAAAATGCTGGGTTTTGACACTGTCAACTTTAATTCATAAGCAAGAACAATTAAATTTTTTATAGCCAATATTTTGATATGTCAGACTGGTTATTTGGAACATCCCACAAAGGGACAAATTTAGACCCCTGTCTGACATTCACACTATTTTTTTCTTTGTACAAAGGGATATAATGGGAATTTTTGCACCTCTAGTCACCATAAAACCTGCTTGTTTATATCTCATGTAGGGGTTGTGCATAGACATAAAATGCCTTGGAACAGTTGGGTAACAGTAACAGTCAACATTCAAATTTACCAAAGAAAATTAATTCAGCCCATAAGAGACACTAACATTGAAATATCAGTCTAGTTCACATCTGTAGAGTAGATTCTTTTATATTTATTTTTAACTTAAAATTGGATGTTTTGAATATGACCCTTCACATAAATGGTAATCGGGCACTCCCACTAAACTCATACATTCAACGATTATTTCTCTTTGAAACCACCATTTGTAAAACAACATGGTTTCATTTCAATGCCAATGCCATCATCCAAAACAGTGTAAGAAAATTATCTACAGGATTCTAACCCTTCCAGATTGCATGCCTCATAAAATCAACTCATCACATTGCTCTTTGGCTTCTCATTCCTCATGTCTAACTCTAGCCTCACAAAAGAAAGATTTACTGACATCAATTAAAAAGAACATTAGCAAACATGCAATGACACCCAGTAAAAGAATTTCCACTGTGTGCATCAAAGATTTTGAACAACTAGAATGGCTTGATGCTTGAGGAATGTCATGTCTTCATGGTCACTTACTTAGTATAAATGAGTGAAAAGTACCTACACTGCATAGCATAGAAGAAAATAGACAAATTTCTGAAAGACCAGGTCTACTAAGAACATATGGCTCATCCACATGCACAATGCCACACCATGAAGCTAGAGAATGTTTAAAAAGATTAACAGATAATAACTAGTCTTTGTTAACCCATTTGATTGTCCAACACTTGTAAAATTTGCACAAGATTTCCATATTTTTCTGTCTACATCAGTAAAAATCATTAGCTAAATGGCAATGAATTAACCAACATGTAAATGATGATTTCAAGGGGTCACTTACTTGTGCCCTGACTCATGGGCAATGGTGAAGGCCAGGCCAAGCCCTGTGTCTTCATTGATGGTACAACTCCGGTACTTACTGCACATTCCACTGATGGGGGCAAATCCTATTAAAAGATCCATTTCAGAGGTTAGCCCAAAGGGCACACATGGAGATATCTGATCTTTAAATATTAAGATATAAATTAAGTATTCTTTATAGTTTTACATGAATAGGTTAATACATCTAATTTTCTGCAGGTAAATTGTCAAGTTCTATAGTTCTCTGCCCTGTTCAAATATATTCACTGTCACTGCCCTCCCATTGTTCATCAATTTGCTTGAGCGGGCCCAGTAATGTCTCCATTGGAGACTTTGTTGTTACTGTGTTTGGCATATCAAATACATCACAGGTAGCTTGCCAGGATCTGCTGTGCGGGCGAGATACTCTCGGTAGCTTGCCGGGCTCTCCGAGAGGGGCGGAGGAATCGAACTTGGGTCGACCATGTTCGCTGTGTGCAAGGCAAATGCCCTACCCGCTGTGCTAAAAGCAGTATTTAGTTTTTACTTGCTTTTTAATGCTATTGCTATCCACTGATCATTTTATCATCCTGTAAAGTCAGCATAAGTTCACTAGTTCCCATTTGACATATTGGAGACAAGGCATTTGACATGTGTAAATCTTATCTACATTTATTATATCAGTCAGCAGAGGAACTGCAAGAATAATAACTAAGCCACTGAAAAGTGTTTACAATACAGTAGTATTGGCATCAACAATACTACTTTAGTAAGTAGTATTGCTGTCCTTTCTCTATAGTAATTAACACAGAAATACCTAAACAACATAATGAAGCCTATTTCTTTTCTCCTGTTCATTCGAAAATGGAAAAGGTCCTTGTTTCTCAGAACTACTTCCATTCAAATGCATTTGGAGAAATGTCCCGGTCAGTCATTGATCCTATCTTGAACTACAATAGAGTGTCACAAATCTTTCTTCCCAGTCTATGGTACTCATAAATAGGTCATCAACAGTAGAACAGGGCCCTGATCCTGATTACTATTTAAACATTCTTGTGCACTGCTCTATCCTCTTTGCTGTCATGTGAGATCACCTGGGAAACCAAATGGACAGGCACACAACACAGGTGGCACAATCAATATGTCCACACCACCATCAACACTGACTTAGATGATCACTCATTCAACCAAAATACAAAGATAGGGCGTTTGTTTTGTGCGCAGCCAGCCCGGCCAAGCCAGGTTCAATTCCTCTGCCCCTCTCGGAGAGCCCAGCAAGCTACTGAGAGTATCTCAGCTGTACGGCAAAGCCTGGCAAAGTACCTGTGATGTATTCAATATGCCAAACACAGTAACAACAAGTCTCAAAATGGAGATGTTACTGGGCCTGCTTGAGCAACTCAATGAACACCAGGAGGATAGTGACAGTGACAGTGAATTTTTATTACATGCAATGAGGCACAATTGAAACATAAGTGTCACATAAAAGACAGAGTCCTTTGCTAGCTGTCTTATACAAATATGGAAAATCTGAATCCTTCAAAAGTCAAATAACCTTCTCAAGGAGGCAATATTACCTAGGGGCACATTTAAGTACCATGGAGACCAATTAAATTCTCTTTTGCTACTAGTTCTGCAGTCATGAAACTTATGCCTCAGTGATCATCAATGAAGAAAAACAAAAAAGGAAAGAAGTGGGTTCCCTATTCCACCAATTTGACAATTACCCCCCCCCCCCAAAGACACCATACTACTGTACAATTTGAAGATCGGCTTTCCATATTAAGGGTTGTTAGGGCTACCCACCCAGTAGAAAGTTTCCATCCTGGTGTTTTCAGCTAACATGGGTATTGTGTGAAGCCTCTGCTCATACCATACCTAGAGTGTCACATGGTTCATTCTTCCAAGAACAAATATCAAATCCCGTGAGCAAGATGGCATGGTCATGCCTCTTGCCATTCTTCCCAGTGAGGGCAGACTGCCACTGACAAAAACTGTTCAGAGACTGGTCTGCATGATGGTTAATCAATAATCCTCCCTGCGGGAAAAGCACACAAATCAGAGTGTGAATTTGTCACAGAGACAAGCACATTGAGTTATACCAACGATTCAGGCGAACACAAGAACATCATATTGCTGGGGAGGAGGTTGACAGAGGAGAACTTCCATGCTAAGGTTGGAGACAATTGGGAAAAAAAGGTATTTGGGGTAAATGCTTACAAAGTTACAAAGTTTAAGTGACTTCAGAGTATCATGAAGATAGATTACAATCAATTATGTTTGTTCATTTTCTGCTCATACCATCTTTCAAAAACTGTCAAAATCTTTAGAAAGAGTTAAGTTCATGAAGGTCCAATTTAGTGACTTCTTGCATAGATCATGAGTGAGATAGGGACCAATGGTTTAATTTACCCAAAAGTCAAATTTTCTTAGGTTTGGAACATTTAAAAATAGATTCACGGTCACGGTCCTCCCGTTGTTCATCAATTTGCTCGAGCAGGCCCAGTAACGTCTCCATTGTGACAATTGTTACTGTGTTTAGAATATCCACTACGTCAGGAGTAGCTTGACAGGTTTTGCCGTGCGGGCGAGATTCTCTCGGTAGCTTGCTGGGCTCTTCGAGAGGGGCAGAGCTATTGAACCCAGCTTGGCCGAGCCGGCTGCGTGCAAGGCAAACACCCTACCGCTGTGCTATTTGGGTGCCATATTTGACAGTGCCCAGAGGCTACTCCCAGTCCAGTATTAGGGGTAATTCTTTGGTGGTGCTTTTGGGATCATGCGATAGCAGGGGTCGATCCTGCATGCAAATCATGCACTCCAACTTGCTTTGCTATCTCTTTCTGGCCCCAAGTCATAGATTTCAATTAATTAGTACATAAAATGAAAGGTCACTGAATGAACAAATGCATGAACAAATAATTGCAAGATTCTGAAGAGCAGGATAGGATGAACCTTTAAAATAATCATTTGGGCCAGAGCAATAGTACAGCGGGTAGGGCATTTGCTTTGCACACACTCGACCCAGGTTCAATTCCTGGCATCCCATATGGTCCCCTGAGCACCGCCTGGAGTAATTCATGAGTGCAGAGCCAGAAATAACCCCTGTGCATCGCCAGGTGTGACCCCCCCACCCCGCCAAAAAAAATAAAATAAAATAATCATTTATTAAAATGTTCGCTTAAGACTCTGGACTTGAATCAAGGTGGGGATTCTGAGACAGGATCTTTAATGTGCTGAGGACACTACTTACTCTCAAGTCCTGGACAAGGTTCAAGTGTAGACTCAAGACAGAAGTGTCCCCCCCCAAACACACACCCTGGCTATCTTTCAAAAATTCTAAGAATTGTTTGGTAAGTTGCTAACCTCTGGCAAGTCTAAATGCATGGGCAATTAGATCAATTTCTAAGTCCTGGCTTCCTGCTTTGTGCACTCATTGTTAGAGAGTCCTTAAGCGACTTAAACAATGGTCTGACTGGAAATCCCCAACACACACACACACACACACACACACACACACACACACACACACGCACACCCTGAACCAATGTGATTTCTGTATTAAAACACTGCTGAGTACTGAATACCATCAATTTAACAATTTAACACCACATTTAAAGTCCTGCTTTTATAAATTGCCGCTGCTACCTGATTTTTTCACCTTGTCATAATCAATATAAGGGCAGTGAAATATTCTTGCATATTCTCGGCAGCACCTTAGCTGGCCAGCCAGTGGGTTTACTCTAAGAATTTTCTGATGACTTGTTTCCAGTCTATTTCCAAAATATCCTTTTGACTCTCCCGACACTCAACTGGCACATGTGATCTTCAAAAGTTGAACCAATCTTAAATCTATTACCTTTCCTGTGAAGCCTACACCACAGAAATATTTTTACATAGAACGCAATACTTGTATTTTCTTTTTTATGCATTTCATAGGTACTCTTAGTCCATATTTCATGTGTCTCAACACATCCTGATCAGAAGAACTTTTCTTGAGGGCAGCATTAGCTTGTCTCCAAATTTGAATCAGATGGAGTCCAGTTCAATCGGACAGAGTCTGCCCTGAACTGGGAAGAGTCGATGTTCAGAGCGAGTGTCCTGAATAAAAGAGGAAACAATGTCAGCCACTCACAGGTTCTTGTTCCAGAAGAATGAGGCTCACTACGACAATGCTGATATCACTCCCGATGGTCCCGTCTTTAAATAGGCTGGAAACCTGTTGAAATGATCACAAGAGAACAACAACAACAAAATGTCAAAATGAGGGGCACTGGTAAAATATCTTAAGTCTGTGAGTTTTACTTTTACTAAATATATGGACACATGAAACTGATCTTCTCAGAAGTTGGGCAATTTTTGCGTTGTTTTAGAGAGTCAGGAGTACAATAACCGTCCTTACCATATTCATGACTGTGAGGATGTACGTGGTGACATTCCCCTTGCCATGCTTGTCCACCATTTTTTTGTCAGCCACCACCAAGGTCTCCACATTTAAGCCCTTTGATGACTTTCCAGCTGATCTTCTGGGTCTTCCTGTGCTCCCATATTCATCGAATCTTAGATAGGTGTCCTGGGTGGGAGGCTTGGGAGCATCTGCAATGAACATAAGAGCAGTTGCAAGAGATATCAGTAGAGATAAGCTGGGTGAGAAGGACAGACTGTAAACAAGAGGAGAGACTAAGAGACTAGAGCTTCACTAACCTACTGATAAGTGAGATCATTCAAGTCTGCCCTGGAGCTTTGCACTTAGAATCTGATCAAGAACTAGCTACCAGTTTGGATGGATGGATGGATGGATGGATGGATGGATGGATGGATGGTTAAAGGACGGAAGGATGGATGGATTCAATAACTCAAAAATTCTCTGAAGAGTGAAAGAAAATGGTTCTAATTCTTAGAATTTTTGATAGACAAAGTCATGATAAAAATCAGTTTCTGGGAGGTCGTTTTTATTTTTTTGCTTTTAAAATTTTGTTTTTCTTTTTGTATTGTTTGTTGGGGTAGTTTTTTTAAACAGGAGATCTTCCTTTATGTTATTGAGGGAATAAACACTTCCATTTGCATCTAATTTATAATAATGCTATTTAATATTTTATTGAAACAATTAAGATCCTGTTGAATATACCTAGACTTTACACTTGTTTCATCAACACAAACTTTAACAAAGGACATAGTAAGAATTCAGTAAGGGCTATTTACCTGATAGTGACTCTACAGTTAGGAAAACAACATAATCATGGGCCATATTTAGATTATATTCAAAAGATTTTGTGACTGGAAAGGTGTGGGCCACCTTATCAGATAGACCTTGAAGTGTAAGCTTTGGTTGATGTATAGTTACAAATTCAAGGGGTGCTGGGAAGGTAGAGGTTAATTGGAGAGTTCAGGATAGTAACTATGTACTACTAAAGTAGACATATTTTCATCCAATAACAACTGGTAAAAGCTCAATAGTGAGATGCTCTTCATATAGAGAGAAATTAAGATTACATCATTTACTATCAGTCTGGTCATGGACTTTCATTCTTTTAGCTTCACTGGTATATTATTACAAACTTTCAACGGAGATTTAACACTCAAATTATTCCAAAAGAATTAAAATTCTTAAAGACAGGGAGCCACTCACCATCCTATTTACAAGTACAACATTAATCTCAAAATCAGAGAAGGAAAGCAGGCATGAGAGAAAACTATAGACCAACATCTTTGATGGACTCAGAGGGAAAATTTATCCACAAAATCATCCACAGATTGAATCAACAATGCATTCATAAATCATTCTATATAAACAAGTGGTACATATTCTCAGGTGAGCTATGATGGATGTGCATATGTGAATCAATAAATACACCACATCAACAAAAGGAAGAACCAAAAGTACAGCTCACATCAATATAGTCTGAAAAATCACTGAATAAAATTCAAAATGCATATGTGATAAAAAAAAAGTCCAATGATTTGGGAATAGAATATACTTCAACATAAAAATATATAAAAAGCTCACAGGTAACATTACACTTATTGGAGAAAAACCAAAATCTTTCTTCCTAAGTAATCAATCACATTTGTGTATGCAAACAGCAAATTAGAGAAAAGAGAAACGGAGAAAAAGATCAATACCATTTACAATTTCATAAAAAGATAAAATACCTGAGAACAAACTTAACAAATATGACTAGACACTGAACACTACAAGGCACTATTAAAAGAAACAGAAGACACAAAGAGATAGAAAGATACTCTGGTAAAACAGTGACATTACCTAAGGAAATTTGCAGATTCAACACTATATCTATCAAAATTGTGATGACATTTTTCAATAAAATTGATCAGTTCGAACATTTGTATGTGACCACAAAGGACCCCAAAAAACCAAGCAGTTCTGAGAAAACAAGAAACTAGGATGTAACGCATTCCTTGACTTCAAAGTATACTATAAAGCAATAACAATAAAAACAGCATGGCATCAGAACAGAAACAAACACAGAGACCAATGGGAAAGAACTGAAATAGGCCCACGTGCATCTGGGGAGTTAGTTTATGGGTCAGGGTCATACAAAGGGAAGAGAAATGTCCCTTTAACAGATGCTGCTGGAGGGGTTGAACTGATTGTATAGTGAGTGAGGCACTTGCCTTGCACAAAACCAACCTGGGTTTGATTGCCAGCACCCCATACGGTCCCCCATGCCTTCCAGAAATGATCCCTGAGCACAGAGCCAGGAGTAAGCCCTGAGCACCAGCAGACATGGCCCATAATCAAACCAAAAACAAACAAATTAAAACCGAACCTAACAACAAAAATGTTGCTGGGAAACCTAGACAACCATATGCATTAAAATGAAGTAAAAGAAATCATATTTAATGCCATACACAAAAATCCACTCAAACACTTGGGTTAAGGACCTGGATATAAGACCTAAAACCATAAAATACACAGAAAATATATAGATGACAAGCTCATGGACACTAATGGCTGAAATGTCTTCGGTAATTCAACTCCAAAGGCAAAGGAAGCAAAACCAAAATTAAACCAATGGCACTACAGCAAACTGAAACAGTTTTGTATGGTGAAACAAACCATCACAAAGACAAAAATGCAACTGCAATCACCGAGAAAAGATACTGGTATATCAGGCAAGGGGTAAATATTCACACTATATAAAGAACTCATACAACTCAACAACAACAGAAACATTAAAAAAAAAGTGAGCGGAAAATTTAAAAGATACCTATCCAAGAACTGAACAATACAGGGGTTAGTTAAGGTGCTTCCATGTAGTCACTCCTAGTCCCATCCCTGGCTCTGCACATGGTCCCCAGAGCACTGCTAGGGGTTACTCCTGAGCACAGAACTAGGAACAGCCTCTGAGCACCTCTGGGTGTGCCCTACCCCTGGAAACTACCTCTCCAGACAAAACACAAAGATGACCCATCAATACATAAAATAAAAAAGCGATCAACTTCACTTATTAATAAAGGTAAAGGTAAAGGTAAAGGTAAAGGTAAAGGTAAAGGCCCTCCCGTTGATCGTCGATTTGCTCGAGCGGGCCCAGTAACGTCTCCATTGGAGACTTTGTTGTTACTGTGTCTGGCATATTGAATACTCTCGGTAGCTTGCCGGGCTCTCCGAGAGGGGCGGAGGAATCGAACTCGGGTCGGCCATGTTGGCTGCGTGTAAGGCGAACACCCTACCGGTTGTGCTATCGCTCCAGCCCTTATTAATAGGGAAATGTAAATTATTAATAGGGAAATGTAAATTAAACCACTAATGACATACAACCTCACATCTACGAGAATAGCTTTCATGAAAAGTCCGAAAACAATGAATTGGTGAGGAGAGGTCACAGCTTTTCCTTGATTTTTGATGGAATGTATACTGGGACAGTCACTCTGATAATTCCTTCACTAGAAACAGGGCCAGGAGGGAGCTCACAGGGCTGGCCCCCGACTTTGACAAGAGCATCCCTGAGCACCAATGGCTGTAGCCTCCCAACAAAAACCACCACCACAAAACAAATATGCCACATGACCCAGCAATGCAATTCCCAGGGCTAATTACCAGATGGTTTCTCTCATGTGGAATATTAATAGCCCGAGGAACCAAATTATAACAAAAATAACCCACCCCCTCCCAAACAAGAGCTACCAAAGGGGGCAGGGCGGGTGGAAGGACAGAGTAGAGAGGGTCAGTCTGGTCCTGGTCCTGGAAATGGCCATAGAACTTCAGGGTCCAGGAGCTGCAGGGACATACAGACCTACAGAGGTATGAAGAGGTTCCCCAGGTGTACAGAGTATAGGAAACCAAACCAATGGCACACAAATTAAACCTCAATAAAATAAAACATCTGCAAATAAAGACACTTTTGTCATTTTAAAATTTAAAAAAAAAAGCAGATCAAAACCCCAGACTGGCCACTGACAAGTGACACTGACTCTCTGGACCTCACCATTAAAAAGAGCATCAGGACCCAATCATCAAACATCTTTGCTAGCTCACATCAAACTACCTATCCCAGCCACTATGAGTCACTGTAGAGCCACGTCACACACACATCAAGAGGGATTTTCAGTCACATCCAAAGTCCAGTTCAAAGGGCACCACCGGCACCAGCTTTCCCGAGCGCTCCCAGACAGCACTTCAGCTGCACCAGCTCAGCGCCATAGCCGGAACCAGCAGCTGGTCACTGTCTCTCTGAACTTGTGACTCTCCGACACGTGGAACTACTGGGTCTTGGAAATGCAGTGCCACACAAGAAGCCCAGCTTTATTCTATTCACATGAGGAGTTCTAAGTGGAACTCGGGAGGCCTCTGGGCTCTCCTGGCTATTCTCCCCAACCAGGCAGGGGCTTCCATGTGAGTGCCCAAAAGATGGGTGGCTCTTCGGACCCAGTGGGACTGGGGGCCTCCAGGGCTGCTTGCGGCAATGTTCTGAGAACTGTGTGGTACTGAGAAGGGAACAAGGTTAACTGCACTTGTGGTGTGTGCCTTAACTTCTGCACAATCTTTCCGGCTCAGTTGCTTTATTTACATTTGGGGCCATACCTAGTGATGATGGGGACTGAGATGGCGTCAGGGTTTGAATTCAGGGTCCTGTGCATGCTCGGCAGAGGCCCCCTCCTCTGGAGCTACCTCCCTGAGGCAAGGAACTGATGTTGTAGTTTTCAGTTAAAAGGTAAGACTTGATTCCAGGACTGTAAAATTTTCAGGGTTTCTGGAACAACCTGAATATATTACTTTCTAGACACTCGGCCAAATAAAAATTCAACCTTACGTCACCCATTTCTTTCGTGATGTGACAATTAGAAAATTTAAGATTATGTTTGTGACTGGGCATTGCATTTCTGGTGGATCCTGCTGGTCCAAAAAGGCAGGAGGTGGGGCTGGAGTGATAACACAGCGAATAGGGCATTTGCCTTGTACATGGCCAACCCGGGTTTGATCCGGGGCATCCCATATGGCCCCCCCAGCACCACCAGGAGTGATTCCTGAGTGCAGAACCAGGAGTAACCCCTGAGCATCTCTGGGTGTGACCCCCCCCAAAAAAACCCCCAAAATAATTAAATAAATAAAATGGAAAAAAATAGAAAACGGTAGGAGGTAGGTAGTGTCTGGGTCACAAACCTGCCTCAAGCTCACTGAATTTCAACCACCAACTTCTTGGGAGTGGTAAGGAGTGCTATTTTTATTCCCCAGGCATCTCTCTTAGTGACCCTCAAAGGCACTCGGGACTACTCCTGGGAGCTTCAGGTGGAATCAACTGATTTCTTTCATTATTGGAAGTCTGGGTGCTTTTCCTGCAGTGCCTGGTATTATCTCACAGAAACCAAGATAACACTGAGACGTGTAACTAAAATGATGCTAAGAGGAAAAAAAAATCTTATCAAAAATCTTCCTGCTTCATTTATTGGTCTTCTGGTCACAACCAGAGGTTCTAAGTGCTTAGTCTTGGCTTTTGGGGGTTCAAGGGGACCCTACGGGATGCTGGGGATGTAACCCAGGTCTGCCACATGCAAGGCAAGTCTGCTGTACTATCTCTCAGGTCTCAAGGTCTCACACCTTCCTACTTTAATCTGGAACCACTGATCCCCCTCACAGGGGGGCCACTAATCTGCTTGCCTTTGTGACTCATTTCAGTGGGGGTGGGGGTTTTGCATTTAATCCTGCACCCTCAGCACCCCGAAGAGCACTCTAGACAACTGGCAGAGAACCCACTTAAGGACAGAAGGAGAAAAAAGTTTCCTTACATACATTTCTTGCGTCGTCCACAAAAATGCTGCTTTTGCCACCTTGGAGGGGGAGGCTGGTTCTGTGGCTCCGGAGTCGCGTGGGGGGTGGGATGTGGGGGGCGGCCGGGCCCGGGTTGTCTGGAACTTGGGGGGGCCCGGCCTCCCTGCACTGTCTCCTCGGCCGTCCGTTTATACAGCACGTGAGGATGGTGGCCGGCGGGAGAGCTGAAGTTATGCTCCTGGGCCAGGCGCGGAGGTAATGGCGAGATGAGGAATTCGTGTCTTCGTGTCCTGATGAGCCCCGACTGAAAAGGCCAAACACAGAGAAACACCCGTGATTCCAGGTCTGCCCACCCGGAGGGCTGATCGCAGTCAAAGCCTGCCAGCTGCTTCCCCCAGGCAGGCCATGGGCATGGGGCTGGTCACGTGACCCCTCATTTCATCAGCACCATAAGGAAAACTGGGGGTCATAGGCTGAGGAAATGGTTCGAGGCTGGAGGACTAGCTTCACACAGGGGTCTTGGGGTTCAATCCTCAGCATCATGTGGTCCCCCAAGCACCACAGGGAGTGGGTCTTGGCCACTAAGGGTGCAGCTAAGAGAGTAAGTGGCCCCAGCCTTCCTTGCCTTTAATGGACACCCCTTCTACCTGCCAGTCTTGGCTCTTGACCTAGACTAGGAGCCAGAAGGTCTCGGCTATGTTGACACCCAGGGCCTGGACAGCTGGATACAATGGTGATGAACTTTGGCAGCCCACCCCACAATGATAAGTTCAGGGTGTAGTTCAGATGAATGCAGACATGTTACCTGGGTGTCCTGAGTGGGTGCATTGGTTCCACAAAGACACAGGATGGGCCCCTAAGGCAGCTAGCTTGTGTCGGAGAAATGGCAGGAGGAATTGGTAGGCGAAATGCAAACCTACTATGCCCCTCAAACCTCACAACCCCTGGGTTCCTGGCTGTCAACCACCCACTGGCCCGAGTCCTCATCTCTTCCACTGAGCCCCTGGTGGAGGGGCAGTCCCCTGGTGGAGGACACGGCTCCACATCCCAGAGACCCCTACCCTCTCCAACAGCATCTCCCCATGCTAGCCAGCATCTCCATCCACACACATCCACCTGCTCCTTGCGCTGTGGAATGAACCTCAAACCCAAGCCCATAACATCCTGCATGACCCAGTCTGGGAGGAGCCTGGCCTGACCTGGCCTCTCCCCTCACACCCTCCCGTAGTCCTGAGTCTCTGCCATTTCACTTGGAGGGGACAATTTGTCACCTCCAAACCTGCCCCTTGGTGCAAGAAGTCTCTTGAATTGATTTGGGGGGTTCTCCCCGGCAGTTCTCAGGAGGCTCAGGGCCCCTCCCAGGGGTACTCAACCAACTGGTGATTCCCTCCAAGCATCCAAGGATGCAGCTTCTCAGATTCCGTGGTGCCGGGGGTTACCCAGACCACCCAAAGGACTGCTCATGGAACCACGCGGGGGAGGAGACGGAACCCAGGCTTGCTGCACCCCAGACATATGCCTTCTCCCCTGTCACTCTCTTCCTCTGGCCTCCAGAGCTGAGTATTGTAAGCATCAGCAGACACACAGGCATAGGTGAAACTCTAGAAAGCCAAGCAGAAGCTATTCTTTAAGCAGGGGCTGGAGCTATAGCACAGTGGGTAGAGTGTTTGCCTTGCACACAGCTGACCCGGGTTCGGTTCCCAGCATCCCCCAAGCACCGCCAGGAGTAATTCCTGAGTGCAGATCCAGGAGTAACCCCTGTGCATCGCCGGGTGTGACCCCAAAAAAAGCAAAAAAAAAAGCATACATGATACCAATAAGGGAAATCTCCAGAAGTGTAACTTCCAGCTCCATGCTGGAAATCTACCCCAATGTAGTTCTTAGAAACAATATATTAAGAAACCAACAAACAATCGATTAGGAAGCCAACAGGCACCAAAGCTGACTGGGAGAAACCCAACGGAAGGTCCTGAGGCATATATATTTCTGGCAGCAGAAACCATCACCAAACGTCTCAGACGAAATGTCGAGTGCTTCTACGATAAAACAATCCTTTGTTATTTGTACTTATTCCTTCATTCATTTGTTCTCCTACTCACCTATTCACTCCAGATTGGGGCTAGAAGGAGCCAGAGTCTATCCTGACAGCTCAGGATCTGACTGGAAGGTGGGACCTCGAACCCCTGCCACCACACACACACACACACACACACACACACACACACACTCCCACACACTTACGCTGGCTGGACCAATGGCAGGTACCAGTTAGCCACCGGGACTGGGAGGAAATGGAGGGCCAGACGGCAGAGAAAACACACCAGGGAAGGGACAACATGCCAGCAGAGACAATCAATTGCCCTTTTTTTTTTTTTTTTTTTTTTTGCTGCCAAGTTAGAAGGAAAACAAAAGACATCCATTGGTCAACCAAAATGCAGGCACCGTTACCTCTCCCTCATTTACTGTGTGTGGCCTGAGACCTTCCCCACCCCAAGACACTCACGTACACACACACACACACACACACACACACACACACACACACACATACACACTTTCTTCTGTTGTTAGCTGGAGATGATGCTGAAAGCGGTTACTTAGTTTTTGCGGATCTCTCCCAGGAATGTGTTCTCCTGTTTATCTTTCATCCCAGGGGTGTCTTGGGAAATCGTAAGACAGTGCTCATGCGTGAGCCACCAGCAAACAATGCCTTGTGGGGTGATGTGATGCCGCTTTCCCACTCCAGTGGGAGAAAGGAGGAGGCATCTCCCGCCAGCCACCCCTTCAGTAGAGAGATGTGGGGGTGCTTGCCTCTGATGAGTAACGGTGCCCCTGAGTCACGAGGCTCCGCTTACCAAAGGTAAAGGTAAAGGTAAAGGCCCTCCCGTTGATCGTCGATTTGCTCGAGCGGGCCCAGTAACGTCTCCATTGGAGACTTTGTTGTTACTGTGTCTGGCATATCGAATACTCTCGGTAGCTTGCCGGGCTCTCCGAGAGGGGCGGAGGAATCGAACTCGGGTCGGCCATGTTGGCCGCTTGTAAGGCGAACGCCCTACCCGCTGTGCTATCGCTCCAGCCCCTCTCTCAGAGAGCCCGGCAAGCTACCGAGAGTATTCGATATGCCAGACACAGTAACAACAAAGTCTCCAATGGAGACGTTACTGGGCCCGCTCGAGCAAATCGACGATCAACGGATGGGCCTTTACCTTTACCTCTTACCAAAGAATCTTCGGAATTTTGCTTCTGAGGCAACCCATTTTGCGGAACTATGGATCCCCTTTCGTTGGCAGCAACACTCTGAGGGGTCTCTGCAAGGAGTCAAGACAGGAGCATTCCAGGAAATGCCAAGTGGAAGCACCGGTAGAATTAGGGTCTCATCCCCCCACTTCTCAGCAGAACTCTTCTTAAGCCCCACTCTCAAATGCTCTCCCTTCTTGCAAAACTGCAGGAAGACAATAGACAGCATTTACAGCCCCCAGCAAGCAAGTGGATCGCCCAAAGAAGCCTGGCTGAGCGAACATCAAAGGTTTAAGACACTGAAGTGCCTTAACTGGACCAACCAGTTTGGAAGTTTTCCATTTGCCTCTTGCTTCTGGAGAACCAAAGCGTAACTCCCAAGCAGAACACAAATTTCTGCAGAGAGACAGAAACAGACCCCAAGGGTTAGCCCTTCTGGAAATCAACAGGCAGGAACTAAAGGCTCTCTACTTATCAGCACAGAAGGGACACAGACCCAAACCTAGAATTTGCATTAACAAAACAGCAATTTAGCATGCCACGTGTTAGGGAAGAAAACCACTAGGGGTGGGGGTGGGGGGTGTTTCCTTTCTTTGATGGAAAGAGAAGGAATCTAGACAAATAGATGCTTCAGTTTAAAACTCTAAGGCCAGGGGGGTGAAGCAATAGCACCACGGTTAGGATGTTTGCCTTGCACGCAGCATACCTGGGTTCAATTCCCAGCATCCCATATGGTCCCCCGAGCACTGCCAGGAGTCATTCCTGAGTGCAGAGCCAGGAGTAACCCCTGTGCATCGCCGGGTGTGACCTAAAAATAAAAATAATAATAAAACTCTAAGGCCAGTATCCAAAAGACCACGTTTGTGACGTCTGTCTGTTCCCTTGTTCGTGTGGTGGTGGAGTGTATACGGGAGACATCTTGCACTGAGAGGGGAGTAAGACAGGACTTCTGGGGTCTCCTGTGGCTTCCTGCGAGCTACACAAAACTAGGATCAACGAAGGAAGGATCACAAAAGCTCCTTCTGGCAGATCCAGCAGAGGAAAGCCCGACAGAAGGAAGATGGACAATCCAGGAGGAGAATCCAGGAGGGAGCTCCGAGATGCAGTGTGAGGACCCACCCCCCCATTCCCAACCAGGCTTCCCTGCAGGAAATGCTGAAGTCCAGGGAAACCTGGGTGCAATGGGCTGGGGGCTGGCCCCTGCTCTCCACCCCTGAAGAAAAAGGGAAGGGAGGATAGCAACACCCCACGCCCCCTACTGGGCAGACGGTGGACTTACTCTCAATATCCTTCCTGCATGCAACCTGCAGTCGTTTCCACTTGGAAAGACCTAGAACTTCAATGACATCACTGAGCTGAATTAAATATATATATATGAACCTGATCAAGAGTCCATACTCTTCAGATCCTATCTGGCTGTGTTATACATTTGAAAAAGGAGAACGCATCAAGCTGTGTTAGAATCTTTTGATTTCAGTGGCCAACATCATCATCAAAGGGTCCCTCATGAGCCATATTTCATGAAGTACTCCTTAGGCCTTCCTGGTGAACCCACCACCATCCTATCAGAGGCTTTGGATCTCACAGGAAAAGCAAGAGTCCAGAAAGAGCTAAGGAGTTATGTGGTGCTGTAGATGCATTTCTGGGTTTCTGGGTTTTTTTTGTTTTATTGCAGGGTGGGGGGGGAGAGGGTGTTGTTTGTGGAGGAGTTGGTTTTTGAGCCATACCCGATGGTGCTCAGGGTTTACTCCTGGCTCTGTGCTCAAGGATCTGTGCTTAAACCTCTGACATCATCCCAAAGCGAAAGACCCAGTGAAAGAATGCTATTGGTAAGCCATTGTGCCCGTGAATAATAAAGAAAAAGAAGTAATTCGGCATAATCAAGGAGACAGTGCTGGGCAGCTCCATTATTTTACCCCTATTTTTAATAAAGACTAACAGACAGAAAAAGCAAAAAGCCTTCCTCCAAGGAATGCTGCCCATGACATCCCCTTGAGGTTCCCAATCACCTAAATGCTTTTTCATGCTTTACTCTGAGACCTGTCCTCAAGGACAACCAGAGGGTCA